TTTATTTGGGTTATTTTAAGGGCACACCTCTCACATCAAATTAGTGCATTCAAGGAAGTTTATATTTATATATTATGTATAAACTAAAGCATATGTTTTGCAATAGATTTAATTATATTTTAATTTGTATTAACAGGTTAAAATATTCAATAAATATATAAGTATATCTGTAAGTATACTTATATTCAATGGGTTGAATAATAAGAATAAACTTTTAATACCTAAATAACTATTGAGTATTAAAATTTTGGAAAATGCTACAAACAACCTCTTCCTTCACACTCCGTTACACACACACTTACTCTCCGTCATTCTTTGTTACTCTCCACCATTCTTCGTTACTCTCCATTAACTCTAAACTTCAGCCCTTTCTTTCTCTCTCTCCTTTCCTTTCTCCTTCTTGCTGATCACTGTCCTCACCAGATCCATCATCCTTCTCACCTCCATCCTCATTCTAATCATCTGCAGCCTCATCTTCCCCTTCTTCATCATCATCAGTTTCACCAGCACAGAGTATGAAGTTGAGAAAGTGGGAACTTGCAAAGGAACCCAAATCTAGTGTTGGGGAAGGGGAAAGAAATGAAAGGATTTAGAGGTTGAAGATAAGGATTTAGGAACCCAGCAACCTGGGTTCCTTCGAACTCTTCTCATTTTAGTTAGCCCTTTTAGCTCTTGCTTGTGCATCAAGACACCTTTTTGGCTTCTCCTGTACTACCCTTCTCAAGTGGGCTTCATGGATGTGGGAAAAGAAATTGGGTACATAAAAGAAACTAATTTCATGTATTTCATTGGGGAAATCATTTTTGCCTTCTTTCTGTTGCCCAATTAGAATAATGAGAATTGAAATTGCAATTTTGGTTATAATAGAGAAAACCCATATTTGGGTTTGCTGTCTCAAGGATGTTGCAGAATTTGTTTTCTTTTCTAGGTTTCTTTTTGAATGGCCTAGCCATGGTTGCTTTCTTCATTTCCTCTCATTTCCATACAGGTTTTGGAAACCCAAATCTGGGTTTGCTATTTTTTTTTTTTAAATCGTGCTCATTTCCTCTCATTTTCATACAAATTTTGGTTATGATTTTATTCTTTTCTTATTCTTTGATCAATATTATTCCAATTAGAACATAGGATTTTCATTTTTTTTTCACCTTCTTTGCTGTGAGAGATGGAGGGTTTATTGTATTTTGCAAGGGTGGAAAAGATGGATGAGAGGGTTCTTGTGCTTGATTTGGGGTTTTCTAAATGTGTTCTTGTATCCTTAAAATGCCTGAAAATTCATGTGCCATTATTGTAGTACAACCTGCAAGAACCATTCCAAGCAAAAAAGTTAAAGAGTACAAAGGAAACAATGATTTAGTTCAAGGCTTCAAGTCCTTTTTTCTTAAGCTTGAAGGAGAAGTGGATGAAATTGCAAGTTTCATTTGGGCATTCGGGAGTTCACGAAAATTAACAGAAAGTTAGCATGTGTAACGGAGGAGTATAAATGTATCATTGTCCTAAAATTTTATATCTATTAATTTTTAAATTAAATACAAATATAGAAAAATATTTAACTCATGTACTTGCTTAACCCACTTATTTACATGAATCAAATCACAAATTGTGAACTTACTTTACACTACCTAAAGTTTATAATTAAAGGAATAATAATAGGTATTTAGAAAATTTTTTTTATAGATATAATTTTTTTAAATCTTAATAAAATTAAATTTTTTTATCTTTAAATACAAATATAGAAAAATATTTAACTCATGTACTTGCTTAACCCACTTATTTACATGAATCAAATCACAAATTGTGAACTTACTTTACACCACCTAAAGTTTATAATTAAAGGAATAATAATAGGTATTTTAAAAAAAAAATTTATAGATATAATTTTTTTAAATCTTAATAAAATTAATTTTTTTTATCTATTTCTTTAAAAAAAGAATTAAATTTACTTAATTACTTATCATAGTTTTAAAAAATATCTCTTTCATTGACTCAACTAAAAAGTTAATAAAAAGAGATAAATAAATGTGGCTAATAATTGAAAAAACGAAATTGGTAAAATATTTATGTAGAAAGATATTAATATGAAGTATGATGTGGCATTGGTGGATCCTATTATAGCCAAATTGGAGAAAAGAATAATATAGCCAAACCGTTAGGCTTTAATGGTAAAAAGTGATGGTGTCAGCCACGGAATGGATGGAGGGATGAAATTGATGACTTTTTGAATGGTAGAGGGAGGACATGTGAGCTCAAAATGAAGTAGAGGGACGACCTGAGGTGATTCCATAGTAGAAGGGTTAAATTGAACTTTTTCACAAAGTATAGGGATGATAGATGGCTTTAACCCCTTTAAAACCCAAGTGAAATACAAATGAATATATTTTATCGCGTAAGTGGTTTAGTTGTTGTCTTTTTTAAAAAAATATATTAAGATGTGAAATTTTAGATTTTATATTCGGATATTATTATTTTTTAAGCAGTACTAGGGGCACTCGCTTTTTGCACTCTCCGGCCAGCACTTCCCCTTTCATTGGGCCACGTAAGCTTCCTCAAAAAGCTTTCAGGTGCAACCTCTCCAAACCAAAATAACGTGGCCCAGTAAAAGAGAAAGTGTTGGCCGGCGAGTGCAGGAGGCGAGTGCCCCTAGCATTGCTCTTATTTTTTTGCCCCAAAAGATTCCTTTTTTTAAAAAGAAAGAATGTATCTTATCATATCAATAATATAAAGGTATTACCAACGAAGGGTTGGATCAAGTGGGATTGGATCAAGTGGTAAGCGATTTGTTTCTGCTTAAGCAAAATCTTGAGTTCGAGCCCTTGTGTATGCAGCAGCCCCCGCTGGGAGACTCATCTACCATTTCTAGGTGCGGGATGTGGGTCGGGTCCGGATTAATCGAGGCGAAATCTCGGATACCGGGCGAGAAACCAAAAAAATAATAATAATAATATAAAGGTTTTATACCATGTGTGTTTTTAGAGTATAAATAAAGGTATAATAAATATGTATTTGTATAATTAATTTATTTAAAAATATAAAAATTGACATTTATCTTAATACAATTGACATGTGGTTAATTTTAATTAATTAATTAAAAATTAATATTTACACTTTAATGAGAATTAATTATATTTTTAATTTGTATTCTAAAAATACATATTAGGAAAGCTCTAATATAAAAGAGTCCTAATTAATGTTTGATATTTTTTGAGAAGGTTAATGAAAAAATGATTTATTAAAAATTATTTAATTTTTTTGAGAAAACATAAATTATCTAATTTTGATATGAATAATTTATTTTGAATAGATTAAAAGGAAATTAGTTTCCAGATGTATTGTATTTGAGCTATTCCCGAAGATAACTAGATTACTAAAATTAAAAAGAAAAAATTCTTAAGAGTTGTATTTATATGCGAGTTAGTGCCACTTTTTAAATTACATCAACATTCAAGTCTTAAGGTTGGGACTGAAAAAAAATTAATTTTTCTAAAAATATAATATTAATAAAGAGGGTATCCTCGCACCTCGCCTTAGAACTCAATAACATTAGTCATTGAATATATGCATTTCTTTTTTTTTTTTGTTGGATTTTAAACCCGTCTTATGTCAAAATGTTCAAATAATAATAATAATAATAATAAAGAAATATACCCTTAAAATTAATAAAAAATTAATTTTAAAATATAAAAAAACTAATAGGACATACTTTAATTATAAATTAAAAAAAAAACTAAAACTTAAAAAAGAAAAAAAGGTTCAATTACGTTTCAATCCAAAGTTGCGTGCACAATATGACTCTTTAATTGCCAACCACGATTCTGGGTCCATGCATGGTTATAATGCTTTCAACAAGTGTGATAATATAATATCTAAAAGTTTTTAATTTAATTCTTAATAATTCCATTTCTCATTTTTAATTGTGTGATGATATAAAAATAAATTTTATATTATTTTATTATATAATTAAATGAATTAATATATTTAATATTATAAATTTTAAATAAATAAATAAATTATTTATTTAAATAATATAAAAAATTACCTATAAATTATTTTTTAAATTATATTAGTTAAAAAAAATGACCCTTTAATTTTTTTTTTTTTAACAATAATATGACCCCTCAATTAATCAAAGAACTTGGAAGAGATGGAGACGGGCCACATATTTTTGCAATTTTTGCGTGCATGACGGCACATCACAAAATGTTTTCAATCGCAGCCCTGCAGCGCTCGTTACATATTAGCCACACATAAAGTGAACAACTGTCCCTACCGTACCATGCGTGGTGGACAACATGAACTCCGGCGGCGGGCGGGCAACCTAATAACAGTCCAAACATACATTTTCCACGAATCTCTTTTGTATCGTCCGTAGTGTACCAGTTATGTTGGAAAAAGACGATCGCATGAAAGCATCATCATCCCTTGATTGCTGGATTCGGTCAACAACCTCCCCTAATCTTCCATCCTCATCCTCTAGCAGGACGGGCCTTAACTTTCCCTCTCCAACTTCTATGGCGATCTATAATTAATAGTCCATAATTACAAAATTGTCTAATTGGTCTTGGATTAATTGTTCCTTTAATAAATAACGAGATTAGTGCTTACCCACTTTATTTTTAAAAAAATATAAAAAAAAAGATAAAAAATATCTTAATACATACTTTAAAAATATAATATTTTAATTTTTTTCAATGAGTATTTATTGAAACGATATAGTTTTAAAATGATTTTCTTCTTAATTTTTAGAAAGTAAAACTGATAAACATTATTCTCATAAATAATACAGTAATAATATATCAACAAATGAAAAATTCTTATTATTAAATGTAAAAATATTAAAAGTTTTTTTTTTTTTACTAAACTAGAGAAACTTAAGGGTTGGATGTGGATTTAAATTCAAGATTTTAATATTCCAAACATCACTCCTCTCAAGAAATGACCAATAACCTAATCAATGATGGACAAAAATATTAAAAGTTTAGTCGTTAGTTAGGACAGAGACATTTCAACAAATCCATTTAGTACCTTGGTCGGTCCAGAATCTGTTTCTAGATATGGATAATCCCCGGTGATGGGTTCATTGAGTATGATGTTAAAACTACATACATCACATTTTTCATTGTAAGGCTTGCATCGAATCACCTCTGGTAGCATATAGACGTAGGTCCCTTGAAAAACACAATACGGTAAAGGTAATTAATGTATTGAATAATATTATCGAGGGGAGAGTGAGTACAGAATTAAGTCGAATGGGGTTATGTAAATCAGTACCTGTTTCGCGTGTGAGCGCCTTCTCTTCGTCGTTTAAAAACCGTGGGTGACCAAAGTCCGCCACCCTGACGTGGTTACCCTGGTCGAGAAAAATGTTGCTGGGCTTCAAATCACGGTGGATAACTTTGGGTTTTTGTTCATGGAGATACTGCATTCCCTGGGCTATCTCCAACGCCCTGGCTAATCTCTCTTCGAATGGAGGAAGCGGCACCGTAAGTCCTCTGTTTTGGCCGGTTACCCGGTCCGTGCAGCCACTCATTCAGGGTTGTGCTTAGACGCTCTGTCACAATCCACCCGTGCACAGGCGGGTCCAGGCACGCTCCCATCAGCTAGAGCACGATGGGGTGGCGCTACCGGTATAACGTGCGGAGCTCTTGAACGAAAAATCCGACGCCGCTTTCGTTTGTGTTGAAGAAATCAGGTAATATGCATTTCACCCCCACATCCAGGCCCCGCCAAATCGCCCTGTGAATCTCCACCGTGCTTCCTTGGCCAATCTTTTCCAGCAATGAAATCCGAATCAAAACCAAAATTATTGTCTCAACCAGAACCAATTCACATTGAAATTTCGACTTTAAAATTGAAATCGTAGAGATCAGCAGACCTCTTGGGGGTCAATGTACCATCCACTGATCTTGGCTTGGTCGATTAGGATAGCGAGATCGGAATGGCGGTGTGTAAAGGGCGTCGACGGCAGATGCCGAGGACTGGAGGTAGGGGAAAGGAGAGATGGGTGTTGATTATCTTTGGAGTTGATTATGAACTCCAGGAAGCCCTTCTCCTGGGCTGATCTGAAGACAGTACCTGAGATGGTCTTGCGTTCTTTTCCATCCTCTTTCTGTACATGATCCGTAATTCCTTCTGGGTCTGGACTTCCCTCTGAAGATCCACCACCTTTACAAGGCCCGAAAAACACAAGCATTAGTAGTTCAAGTTTTGAACTCAAGTTAGCCCAACCTACACAGAACCCGTGTTTACACTATTAAGAAAGATTCCTTTTGGGTTTTGGCCCAATTGAAATTTCTGTGGAGATGGTGGCCAAAAAAACTAGTGCAAGCAAAATAACCTCCCAATGGTTGAAAACTTCTGTCTCTATGTTGAAGATTTCAAGTTCGAATTATAAGATGGGTTAAAAAAAGAAGGTTATCCTGTTGTATAGTTTTATCTAAAAAAAATATGGATCTAGTGCAAGCAAAAATGCCAACCTGCTCCTCCAATCGGGTGGTTGGCTGGTGGCGATGGTTGTGCCTTTGGTGGTTTTGTGGAGAAAGTAGATCCCATGCTCATGCAACCAATAAATCCTGGGTAACGCCGTGAGACTTGGTCACTGCTGGAGCTCCTAGTGTTGCCGGATATTGCTGTCATTCGGAGAGGTCTTTTTGTGCCCTGATGTAAATGCGACTATCATGCTCCTTGTTAGTAAAAGCGGGCAAAGAGAGGGAATCATCAATGCCTAATTGTGGTTATAAATTATAAAGTGGGGTAGTAGACGACAATATTTAGCGGATTTTTATATGAAACAATGATGGATCCTATGTTATCCTAGAGAGCCTGCCATTTCAATGAGTTTCTTAATAATTAACTGAGTTTGTTTTCAACAATGATACTGTCTATGCTATGATTGATATTCAGATGCAAAAGATAAGGAAAATGATGCAATAGGGCAGGCGGGATATACTAGAACTTGATCCAAATGGGTACAAAGTTTGGACCACCTTTACATGGGGTGATATTTGGTCTAGTCCATTCTTACAATACGACTCAACTTTGGGCATGATCGGTAGAAAATTAACTTATATGGATTCCCTTTTGACATGTCTCTTTATTTACCATGGACCATTGCTTTGTCTTGAAGGATCATCAACTATGTGATGTGAACAAGTCGCATGACAACCTTAACCATCATCAAGGGCTATCACTTTAACATGGGATCAAACTGTCTTTTGTTACGGATAAAGCAGCTGGCATGGTGAAAGTGATGAAAAACACATCCAGGATGCAGCTTCTTCGTGCATGCGGTGATTTGGAGGAGGAATCAGTAAAGAAAAGCTGGCAACGCCGATGGAGCATCTTGTTTGGGAAGCCAAGTATCTTGGGATCTCCGATCACAAATATTTGTCATTTACTACCTTGAACAAAAGTGGAAGAGAGAAACAGAGGACCACTTGGAATGATAGAACATGCTGCCTCCCTTTGCTAACTTTCTCAAATTTTGAACATTCAAAAAAGCTCCACATGACCACATTTCCATCTTCTTTTTTTTTTTTTTTTTTTCCACATGACCACATTTCCATCTTCTTTTTTTTTTTTTTCAAATTACATTTCCATCTAATTGATTCACAATGATTTAGGCTATTCACACTGATTTAGGCACAACATCAGCGGTTTAACATAATAGCATGTGAAAGGTCTTAGTTGGCCCTCTGCATCATATTGTTTTATTGGAAAGCTATATGTGAAATGTTAGGCGAAACCTTTTACACGGAATTGTAGTATAATATTGTGCCTAAATATAGTATTCAAAATTTGAGTCATTCTTCGTATGAACCGCACCAAAATGCGTCCTAATTTTCTTATAAGGACTTCTTAGATCAATCATGCACCTTGGAATCGATAAATTGGCTTATTCTATTTAACAAATTAATGAAGAATGGAACAGAGTGGGAGATGAAAGAATGTATGATGACTATGATATGGGGTATAAACTAATTAAGTGATGCCCTCGTGGGAGAATTGAAAGGGACAACACCTTGCTAGCTAGGATTTAAGTTCATCTTTAACTCCTTGCCTCCCTCTAAAAGAATATTCTCCCATCATCATTGCTATGCCTAATTAACCTAACTAATGTACGGAACGGCAACTACATTAATAAGTTAATTGAATTTAAACCACAACTAGGTGCTTATCTTACGTTACAATAACAAAAAAATGTTTTTTTTTTTGTTTTATTTTATCTTGATTGCAGAAAGAATAAAAGGTAACAATCTCTCATACCTTATCACACCTTACCCACATGCCATACGACTTAAATTCAAAATTTCTTATTTTTAGTGAAAGAAAATAACCACTAAACTATTTAAGTCGTTGATGTAACAAAAAATGTTTTTTAATATTGTCCTCTCATGTTAAAAATATTTTTTGTTATAAATATATAAAAAATTATAAAAAATAATATTAATTTTAATATTAATATTAAGTTAATAAATTTTATTAGATAATTGATAAGTTAAAAATTAATTTTATTTTTAATATAAATTTATAATAAAAATCTATATTTATTACACTTTTAAAATGCAAATTAGAAAAACCTAACAAAAAAACCTTCCTATGCTAGAGAAAATTATTATCTATATTATTGTATAAAACAGGGTCATAATAATTCAGTGGTTTTGCTTTTATTGCTACTGGTTTAATAGTAAATCTTAAATTTAAACTCAGACAATGACAATTCCTATCTCGCAATTGGCTTGTTAAAAAAATAGAAAGGCCATCATAATTTATTCTAGCTACTTTGAAGTTCGAAGACTTCAAACTTAAAAGCAAACCCAAATCAAAAAAGCACAAAATTATTTCCCCAACAAAATTTTTCTTGAGTAAGTTACAAACCCACCATAGAATTAAAGAAATATAGTTTCAGTACTTTCTAATGATATGATTTTGACTAGACAGATTCTTTTGTCTTTGTGGGACTGATCTCACCCAATTTTAGATCAATTAAGAGGTTCTTGCATGCTTGTTGTCACGTATTAGTGGAGTGTTTTATAGGCAATTATTAGGTCGACTAACCATGAATGCCCTCTTTTGAGTTTCCTTTCAAGCCCATAGCTAGCCAAAGCATACTTCTTTGAATGTTAATTTATCATTTATAACATCTACTATGAATTATATAGTAAATAATTTTATTCTCTACACTTATATATAGACAAAATTACAATTTAAGATATACAAATGTGATGATGAGTATTTTTCCCTCTACAATAAGAGAAGTTCTCTTGTATAATTAATTTATCAGGTCATTAGTATTTTTTCCACTAATATAGTGACATATCAATTATTTAGCGTTCACTTGTAATTACTTATATATTTATTTTAATAGATTTAAATTAATTTTTTTATTTTTTAGACATAAACTTTAAATAAAAATTAAAACACTCAATGAAAACTACATAGGAAAAAAAAAATTTAATTGTTATTCATATAAGTTACTAAATTTTTATCTAAAATTCATGTAAAAAAGTCAAAAAATTAAAGTAAGTCTAGTAAAAATAAATGAAATGAGTAAATAATTCTCCCATATAATGGGATACCATGTTTGTAATACCATCATCTACTAATGTAGCAACATATCAATATGTGTGATTCTCATTTACTATATAACGTAGCGACACATTACATATATAACCCTCACTATTTGAAATATTTGTAAGTGAGAACCACATATCTTGATGTATTGTTGTATTAGTAAATTTTCCCTTGTATAGAAGAATTTATTAGAGAATGAACATGCTTAGTCATTTGTCGACTACAATTATTTATGAATCTATTATGAATGTATGATTTACTCTCCTATCTGTTTTTGTTTACAAATTTTATTTTGCATAATAATATATAACTGACTTTGTTGGTAGGCATATTCATATTGTTTATATATTCGTTAGATTCCTTCTACCACATCTACTATATATAAGCGAAAAGAGCAAATAATTAATTTGAGTTGTTTATGCCAATCTCCATATATAGATAGAAAACCGTGCTCATTAATTGTAAACAACATAATTTGCGGTGGAATAACGTTGGAGTGGGTTTGCTTGTGAGTGTGAAATCTCCCGTTTGAGACATATATGATAGTAAATACATATAGACCCATGAACTATCAATAATTTATTGATTTGAGTAAAAAAATTTTAATTTCTTTAAATAAGATTTTGATTTTGAATTTTATGAATGAAGAAATTGACGTTGGGAGAATTTCTTCTTAATGGAGTCTAACGTGACTCAATTTTGAATTAATTGAGATCCAATGTAATTATTAGATATTAAGAGTTTAATAAATAAATATATATATACCCATGAACTTAAGTGAATAATCTGTTGAATTTAACCTTTAACAGTAGTTTTATTCTATAAAATAATTGTATTTACTTAAAAAAAAAAACAGTAATAATTGTAGGAAATATAATATACTTCTTTTTTTTATTCCATTTATATGTTTCTGGTAACCTCCTTGGTAGTAGATGAGCGAACCAATTAATATTGTCATAACACTGGTACTTAGAAGCTTTATAGCTCTCCAATCTTAATTAATAAAGTACACATGTTTGCAGAAATGCCGAGTTGTTCAGCCAATTGCACCATGGCATGTGGCGTATCTCACCCTAGGTAAGGTAAGTGACTGAAATTAAACCACCCCCTCCCCCAAATTGCTAAATAAAAGTGTTGATGCATCTCTATCTCATTAACTCTTTGGACCACTGTCTTATCAAACTAAGGTTCTTAGTTTCAATGTACTTTTTACATCTTACCTGTAAAATTTATGTTCAACGAAAAGTGTATCTCACTTCACAGTAATTGCTGTTGGACTAAGGGTTCCATCTAAATTGTCAGCCATATTTAAACTTTGAAAATGGCCATTAATTAATTGGGACGGTAAAAATTAAAATCTTATTCAATAGTGTTTAAACCTTATTGGTTCGTATTAGGTTAGCAAACTTTCATAGATGATCAATTTATTCTTTAGCTTCTTATAGATTATTTGCGTAAGATTATTTATTAGTTATGACTTAGTTAGTAATAAAAATGTCAATAAATAATTAATTCTTTACGAATTTCTTGATTTTAACATCAATATAAATGAACCAAACAAGAATTAGGACCTGTTTGGTACAACGGTTAAAATTCAGCAGATAGCGGATAGCGAGTAGCAGATAGTGGATAGCGGTAGCGGATGGCGGTTAGCGGTTAGCGGATAACGGATAATGGATGACAGATAGTGGAAAGTGGGTAATGGATGATAAATAGCAAATTCGATAAATATAACTGTTTGGCTATACAATAGTTAACGGTTGTTATTTAATATTAAATGACTAATAAGGACATGATTAAAAATAAATGTGTATTTTTTAAATATTTTTATTTATTATTATTAAAATTATTAATTTTATAAAAATAATAATAAGAAAATAAATAAATAAAATTAATTATAATA